CTTCTCTTCAGTGGCAGGAGAACTGCAGGAATCTAAGTCCTCCACCTCATGAAACTGGGAGCCAGACAAGGTCACACAGCTGCTCTCCAGAATCCCTCCAATTTATTCCCCTGCTAAACTGTCCATTTTTGTAGATTTATTCTTTATAATATTTCTCACCCAACAGACATTTGATCTCGATCTGTAGTGTGTTGTGTGACCGGCTGCTTATTATGCTAATGCACCAAAGCAGAGGAAATTCTGCTGTTGGTGGAGGAGCGCACGTCTCCATAGGCAACAGGGGAAACAAGCTGTATTCTTGCTTTTTATTCAAATTACCGTGAAATGTAGTAGTGGAGATACACCGAAAATCAGAAGAGATTCCTTAATCCTACCATCTTGAGAAATATTTCATTTCTTTTTATGTTTTTTTTCACATAGACATTACATACTGTATATTTTTTTCATCATAAACATTTCTCAGCATTTCATAAGTTTCAAACAATCTTATTGTATGAATAAATGCTGTTCTATCATTTGGATAGAACTTAAATGTGCTAAGGGAAAAAAGCCAAATGCCTCAATATTTTGCTATAATTAGTAATTCTGTTCAGATAACTTCCTTCTAGGCCCTTCTCCAATGTTGGTGAGACCCAGCACCAAAGCACAATGGAAGCACACAGACTGTATTTATAAATATTTTAAAATATCAAACTAATGAATATTTATATAAAATGCCTTATATACTGTGACAATTATACCCTCATAACAAAACATTTTAATAGAAAATCATTGTTATATGACTGAAAGTCACCAAACATCAAGGATGCTTGTGGAATCTTCTCAAAAAATATTTCATATATACTAAAACTTGAATGATATGGGTGGGGGTGGGGGTGGGGGGTGTGTGTGTGTGTGTCTGCGAGTCTGTGTGTGTGAAGAAAGTGGTATTTAAGAACAGAAAGTGGTATTTAAGAACAGGAAAGGTCAGTGTTATTTGAGCAGAGTAATTAGCAGTGAAGCATCATGGGATGGAATTGGAGAAATAGGTGGAAGTCAGATGGGGCCACAGTGTATGGAAGACAGGGAAGTTTTTTTAAGGAGAGTGAACCAGTGACCCAAATTCTCGTTGCCGCTAAAGATCTTCACCCAACTGAGTATCTAGTCTCCCAAGATAACATTTATATTCCACTAGTGTAAAATATAATTTCCGTGAGAATTTCTTATTCTGTCATATTTAAGGAAAGATCAAGGCTCTCAAGTATATGAATCATTGGCAGAGCAGAAAGATGAAATAGACAACAACATGATAATAATCAGAAATTCATCCTAATAGTGATGAATAAAACAACCAGACAAAAGATAAGGAAACAGAGCACTCGATTAATAAAATGGAGCAATGGGACTTAACAGACAAATAACACTACCCTAAAATAGTAGAATACACATTCTTCTCAAGTACACATGGTACATTTTCTAAGATAGACTGCCTGTTAAGTCACAAAACAACTCTTCACAAATTTCAGAAAATTGAAACAATATCTTCAACATCTGGAATGAGACCAGAAAGCAATAGCAAAAAGAAAATATATATATACACAGAATGTAGAAATATATAACTCACTCTTAAAGAGCTATCAAGTCAAAGAAATTTAGAAGGGAATTTGGAAGATATAGATAAAACAAAAAGCACAATATACTAAAACTGTACAGAGAAAACTTGTGCAAAATGGTCACATTAATAAGAAATATTTCAGATCAACAACTGAATTTTGCATTATAAAGGAGCTAAGAAAAGAAGAATGAAGTAAGCTAGCAGGAAGAAGGAAATAAAAAAAATAAGAACAGAGATAAAAATAGAGAATTAAAAACAACAGAAAAATTTCAGCAAAACCAAGAATTATTTTTTGAGAAAATTAACACAACTGGCAAACCTTAGACTAAAAACAAAAGGAGATCCAAATAACTAAAATTAGAAATGAAAATAGTATTACAACTGATGTCACAGGGCCTCTCCTGGCAGCGCAGGCGGTGGAGCGCTGTGCTGTGAAGCTGTCCACAGCCTCTGTAGCACCGGTTCGATCCCGGCCGGCCGGCAAGAGTTCCACATAGCGCGGCAGACCTCTCCTGCCTCACCTTCTGCTCCCCTCAGCAGTGTGTTTTGTCAGTCTGTCTGTTCTGTTCCCCACTCTGTCCCTGGTGAATCCTCTCACCCTCCCGCACATCTGACCTGTACGCCGGTTCTTGTATAAATAAATAAATAAATCTTAAAAAAAAAAAAAACTACAACAACTGATGTCACAGAAATAAAAATAACTATAATATTACTATGAACAATTATAATGCCAACAAATTGGATAACCTAGAGGAAATGGACACATTCCTAGATACATCTACCAACACAGAATCATAAGAAATAAATCCAATGAACCTATAACTAGGAAGGATATTAAAACACTCATTTAAAAAAAAAATCTCCCAACAAAGAAAAGTCCAGGATCAGAGGGCTTCACTGGAGAATTCTACCAAACATTAAAAAATAACTCATACCAATAACATTGCAATGTTATTTACAATATCCAAGATGGAAGCAACCCACTGTCCATTAACAGATGACTAGATAAAGAAAACGTGGTGTATATTTACAATGAAATATTACATAGCCTTGAAAAGGAAGGACATTTGTCACATGCCACAGCATGGCTTAACCTTAAGCACATTATAATAAGCAAAACAAATCAGTCACCGAAGGACAAATACTATATGAGTTCTTCTCATATGGAGTATATAAAGTAATAACATCCATAAAAATAGAAATTAGGTGATTGCCAAGGGCAGAGGAGAGGGGGAATTAGCAATAAATGGGTATAGAGTTTCAGTTTTGCAAGATGACAAAGATCTAGAGATCTATTGCACAACAATGTGAGTTTGCTTAATACTAATGAAATGTACACTTAAAAATGGCAAAGATGATAAGTTTAGTGTTACATATTTTTACCACATAAAAAATTAAGAGACTTTTTTACTTCTAAGGATAGTGCTTCTGGAAATGCATGTGACTAGTACTTCAATGAAAGATGCCAGTGATGACTTTTATGACTGTAGAAGTCATGTGAAGTTACTGCATTTAAAATCTCCATTTAAAAATTTATCTTATAGATATACTGGATTACTCCCATGGGTCATTCTCTAATGGCAAATTAGGCCAGGTCTTAGGTCTTGTTAAATCCTCACAGTAATGCTACGAGGTGAGCACTTTTATTCAGCTCATCTTACAGAAGTGGCTTGGAAAAACTCAGTCATCAGCTCAAAGTCACAAAGCCTGTGTGTACAGTTTAGCGGGATTCAGGTCCCGGTCTACTAACCCCACACCTCATGCTCTAGGACACTATTCCATGCTATTTTTAGTTTGTAAAAAATGTTGAGATGGCCAGTCCACGTAAAATGGGTCAAAGGATAAGATGATCCCACAACGCTAGAGTGAACACGTTGCATCTCTTACGTATGAAGTTCAATAGGACACTGGGTGGCGCTAGTGAGCTAAGATTTTTCTCACACAAAAATGTGTGTGCTTTCTAAGTGAGAGAAATCAAGTTTGCTTTTGATTTTTTCTCAAAACATCGGCTTTGGTATTTGGGGAGCCTGGAGCTTGTGTATTAAAGGCCTAACTGAATATGAATAAATACATAGGAGTAGGTAAATCAATGTTTTATTTGCAAACACAAAATAAAGCAAAAATTGTGCCTTCTTCAGCATGAAGAATTTAAGGCCACAGAGTTCCAGCCTCAGAAAACCATCCGTGTGAGGATCCTTGGAAACAGTAGAAATTGCTCTAGCTAGGGTAAACAGAAAAGGAATTTATGGAAGGTTGTCAGGTGCCTCACAAACTCTTTGGGGAGGTCGGAGAATCAGATTTCTTGGGCTGCTGGTCCACTCAGAACAACAGCAGAGAACAGATGGTTCCCTAAGGACTCTACTGGGCACAGATACCTTAGCTCCCCTGGGTGACATGGGACCCTGGGTGCCAGAACATCTGCTGTGGCTGTCCCAACTAGCAGGCTGTACTAGTTGATTGCAAAAATTGCCAGAAATTTTTCTCCTCATCTGTATCCATCTATCCATGCTCTACCTGTTAATATCCTCTGCCTTGATTGTGGACTCAGCCAATGGGGTGTCAGCTCTGCCTTGATTGTGGACTCAGCCAATGGGGTGTTAGCGCTGCCTTGATTGTGGACTCAGCCAATGGGATGTCAGGAATATGACACTTGCTGAGCCTTGGAAGAAACATGTACACAACTGAGCTTATCTTCTCTTGGAACCCTAAGGCTGCCTCAGAGGAAGCCCAGGCCAGTCTTTGGAGTGATGAGATGCACATGGTCTCCTCACTCCTGTTACCCAAGCATATGGCTTGACCACAGCAGACATGTGACTGCAGCCACCCTAGATGACCCATTCACTAGCCATTCCACAGGCGAGCGAGCTGGCTATGACCAACTAAGCTGGCCCACAGCCCACAGTCCAGCTGACCTACAAAGCCATAAACTGAATACATAGTTGTTATTATAAACCACTCTGTTTTAGGATCTCACTAGCAAAAGTTTCCTGATATCAATTTGCTCACTTGTTTTATATACCTGATCTCACTTTGTTCCACTATAAGCCAGGAAGAGAAGGAATATTATCCCCATGTTCCAAGGACAGCCATGTTCTAAACTTTCACAGTTTGATAGCTTTCAAAGGCTGGATCTGGAATGGAGGTTACCTTGACAAAGGTACACATTGACAATATTGTTTTGTTTGGGACAAAGCAATATCACAGTTACAGCTTCAGCTTAACCAGTGGTTCCTCTTGTATATTACCATGCCCTCCTATCTCATCTAAATCCTTAAAATTTAAGTGGAGAGAGAGGAAGTTTCCTCTGTTAAAATCGATTCCATTATTTAGAGGAGAATATCAAGTAGCCATACTTGGCCAGAGGGATTTCCAGGTAATAGCAGGGAATAAGCAACTGAACCACTCCTGGGAAGAGCTTTATTTGAAGGAAACCAGCTTCCTTTCATCTCTGTAGGTCTCTGCTATGGTCTCACACTTGCTGTTAAACTTTTACAGATGCCAGTGTGGGGCAAAGGACTCAGCACATTCTAGGCAATGATCTTAGGATGAAACATTAGCACTCTTATTAATATGAAGGCAGGAGTCTAGTCTTCGAGGAACCTACTCTCTGTAAAGAGCTTAACTTGAACTTGTCCTTGTCTCTAGTCCTGCCCGTTGTCAGGAAGAGGGAATGACTCCCTGCTCGTGGTATCCACTGGCAGGATTCACAAATGGCTTCTTGATGGAGATATTACTGGAATTGAGCTTTAAGGATTGCTGCAGAAGGATGGGAAAGACAGAAAGGTGAACAGGTTTGGCAAAAACTGGCAGTACTGGGAGACTTCTTAGAAGGAGTCTGAGTAAATGGAAGACACAGACAAAGGTAGCTTTTAAGTAGAAATACCCAGAATCCTCTTAACTCATAAAGAGCTGATTCATAGAAGCACCAGTTTTAAGATTTGCTAGCACTAAGAAATCAATGGCATAGGTGTTAGCTTTCAGTCTAAAGAAGAAGAGAGGGGCCAGTGTTGGGAAACAGACAATGAGTTTTATTTTGAATAAGTTAGGCTTGGTTATAAATAGATTACTTATGTGGGCATGCCCTGGGATGTGCTAAAGACATAAACCTGGAGCCCCAAAGGGAAACACAGCTGCCTGGTGAAGTGTGTTGAGGGCTAAGGAACATCTAGCAGAGTGCTTGGCTACAGAAGACAGTTAGTATTCAGTTTCTAGAACAAAGGGTTTCCTTACTCCACTTCCTTCTTCTTCCTTGCTGACAGGGGAAGCTAATTTCGGGGTTTTCATGGGACCGGCCAAGATAGCCCAAAATTTGTTTACCAAGCACCTACTTCCAAGAATAGTTTGTAAAACTCATTCAAGAGCTAGACTCAGCACCCTGTTTCCTGAAAAGGGCTAGCTGGTAAATATTGTCATCTTATAGACCTTACAAACTCAAAACTACTCAACTTTGCTACTGTAGTATGAAAACAGCATTGTGGGTTTCAAAAAAATTAAAAAAGGGTTGCCATAAGTCTCAGCAACTCCACTTCTGGGTCTGTGTCCAAAATAATGAAAGAAGAGTCTTGCAGGGATATTTGCACCCCGAATTCAAAGCAGCATTATTCACAATAACTAGGCTATAGCAGGAACCCCAGTATATCTGCCGATGGATGCATGGAGGAGCCAACTGTGGTCTATACAGACAATGCAACATCATTCAGCCTTCAAGAGGAAGGAAATTCTGACCTCCCAGGGCACGGATGAACCTTGAGACCATTTGCTAAGGGAGATAAGCCAGCCACAAAAACACAAACATCGTATGTTTCCTAAAGTAATCTAGAAAACGTCTAGTGATCTTCCTAGAGTAATCAAAATCATAGGGACAGAGAGTAGAATGTGGTTGCCAGGGCCTGAGGGGATGTGGGAGTAGAAGTGAATGTATAGTGGGTGCAGTTTCAGTTTTGTAAGATGAAAAGCCTGTGAATGTATTTACTACCACTGAGCTGTACACTTAACAATGATTAAGGTGGTACATTTTAGGACATTTTTTTTTCTGCCACTGTAAAAAAAAAAAAAGGAGGAAAAAAAGGTATCCACTTGGAAATCTTGGTAAAAGAGAATTCTGGACCTCATCCTAGTTCCAGGTGCTACTGCTGCTGCCAGCACTGGGAGGTTCTTGGAGGCAGCACTGCCCAAAGGGAAGCAGGTGACCAAACAGCAGACACCAGGGCCACTAAATGACTTTCTGTGACAGCGAAGGGAGATGAAACTTTCTGAAGCCAGTGTCAGCGTAGCCTGTGCCTCTTTGCCATTGCAGCTCCGTTGGCTCTCAATAATTATGTGTTTGATAACTGAATAAATGAACTACTGGGTTTATGGAGGCAGAAGTTACAGCCCTCTGAAGTGCTTGGTTCTTCTCAGCCATGTTCTCTCTCTTCCTACATGTTAGTCCAAGGCTGAGCCTAGTTAGCCAAAGAACTGGAATCCACAGCCTGGGTGTGGGCCAGGGCCGGCAGCAGAACTCTCTGCATGGAAAACTCCTCCTTCCCCCACCCCTACCTCCCCGCCTCTCAGCTCCAAGCCCTGCTGCTGCTTGCACCAGGGTCCCATGTGCAGGGTCAGGCAGCTCCAGCTCCTCTGAGCCCTCAGCTGCAATGCACTTTCTCCAACATTCCCTTAGGGAGTGAAAGGACGAATATCTCCCAGGGAAGAAAGGGTGCGTGGGCTTGCTGAGGGAGCTTGATTCCGAGTTCCTGAGAGGAAGTCTGATGGGCAGTGCAAGGCTAGGGAGGCGCTGCTGTGGTGGGAAAGAAAGCTGGTCACAACCACTTCTTTCTCTTTATTCTGCATGAGAGTTAAATGCTGGCCTTGCCCAAGTATCATGCTGAGACCTGGACCTCAGGAACTCCAAAGCACACACCCTTTGCAGAAATTTGTAATTTCATCATTTCTTGACCAAATGACTCCAACCGCAGAAAGGCCCAAATTTTCCATTGGGATTGATTCTGCTGCTCCCTTGGGTGGGTGTGTTCTTGCTTGCGTGCTTTGCAACCTCATTCATTATATGAAATATAGGTTTTTCAAAACAGATTGTAAAGTAAACTAGTTATTAAATATATATATCTTGCCTTTCGAACTCTACTTGATAAATTTGAGAACCGAGACACAGAATATGCCTAGAAAAGCTGAATTCACTTTTTATCTGGCCTGTGAAGCATAATCTGGGCTCTGACATCTAAAGATCTAGGATTACCCACCCTCTTCCAGTCCTCTGTATGGCCTGACCCTGATGCAAAAAGCCAGAAACTTCCATTCCCACGTATAGACAATCCAAGACTTGCAGTGTCTGGTTGCAATGGAAGGCCAGTGAGTTTGGAAACAGGGGGGAACTGTTTCTCATACAGGCAAACAATTTGCAACCATTAAGCTGAATGAAGCCGATGAATAGTCATGCAGCCAGTGGCAAGAGCTGCTATAAATTTTATTACCAACATGGACACATGATATAGGCATGATCCTTGATTTCAGATAAAGAAGAAAATGTGGAGCTATTATTAAATACAGAGTAAAACAGCATGAAAAAAATGCCAGAACATAGAATGCAAATAGGATTGGGGGGTTCCAGGGGAGGGGGAGAGCCCAGTAAGGGCAGGGCTGTGTGGGGAGAACAAGGTCAGGTGGTGAGCTGGGTCCCGTGGGAGTTGTGCCCAGGCTGGGGTGCTGAGGGGGAGGGACTTCCCCAGGAGTCCAGAGCTACTGTGTCTCCCCGCCCTGCTGCTGCTCCCACCAATGGCTCCCCCCTTATGAAGCAGGGAATAAAGAATGACTCTTCATTTCCTGGAACTCTCGAGACCACAGGAGAGTTGGCAGAGGCAAGGGAAAGTTAAGGTTTGGGGTGGACTGAGTGAGCGCTGGAGGACGGTGTCTTGACTATCCATATATTTCCTACCACGCAGAATTCTGGCAAAATACATACCATGGCTTTTGAGGTACCCTGAGGCTGAGAAAATTCACCAGGATGCTTCAAATTCTACTCAAAGATCCATAGTCACAGATGCTCACGACTAAGTTGGGGTTTCAGCCTTTAAGAGATCAGAATATAATTTGGTTTTAGGTGACCCAAAGGGTGCCTTAAATGAATACCTAATATGACCACCAGATCCTCACCAACCACCGTGAAGAGTCTTCCTTTATCCCCTGTCACAAATGCCTGAGATTCTTTTCATGAAAGTCTTTATGAGATCATCAGAGATAAATTTCAGAAGAAAATCTCACCAAGGGAGGGAGGGACCTGATGATCATTCACACGGTGAGCACATGGGCAGGGAAAGAAAGGAGCGCCAGGTAACAGCCCTAGGGCAGCTCCCTCCCTGTGGTGGCCGGTGGCCAAGGAAGGGGCACTGAGGAGGAAGAGGGGCTGATGTGGAGGAAAGACCTGGAAAACCGAATTACTGATTATAGGGAGGGCTGGCTTGTTTATACTCAGTTGGGGTGGAGGAGAGAGAACAGCACCCTTGCCCGCTGGAGGTGCAGATACCTTTGTCTCATGGGGCTGCTGGTGGCAGATAATCTGTGTGGCTGTGGGGAGATTTGGGGGCCCTTGTTTTTGTTGCTGCAAAGCTTTTTTGAAAGCACGTCTACAGCACGGTCACGTGGGCTGTGTGTGCGGCTGTGACCTAGCTGGGGGGCAAGGGCACTGGGGTCTGATATTTGGGTTCTCTTCTAGACTCTGCCACTAAGTGGCTCAATGACCCATGAGGTCTGTGGCTTCATCTCTGAGACCCGGGTGGACTCGATCTTGATTTCCTTTCGATCTTGGGGTTCTTTCATTGAAGCAGAGCTGCACAGAGGGGAGCAGAGGAGGACCTAGAGCACTGCCCACTCTTCCTGGGCCTGAGCATGTCATCAGAACCCCAAGACACTGGGGCAGCACCCCCTCAGGATCACGAACGTCTCCTTGAGTTCACCAGAAGCCCTTTCTGCTGGAGCAGTGTCCGGGCAGACTTTGGATGAGGCACAGGCTCCCGAGACTTGTTCTGCTCAGGTCGTGCCTGGGAGACTGAAAAAGTTGCTGCTAATGGGCCTGAGGGGGAGGGTCCCCCTCAAAAGGAGATAATCTCTTTCTTAGCTGCTTGGGTTGCCGGAGATATGTAAGTTTTAGAAATTTTTATCAATGGTTCTTTTATAAAGAACATCTATTAACAATCATGAATCTCCCTGGCTCCCGTTTAGCGCCTGCGTCCTGGCGAGGCTGCCCTGTCCTTTTCCATCCCCGCCCTCCTACTGCCCCCTTGAGAAACGCTGCTTCAGTGTATCCTCTCCAGGTGACGGGTGATTTACACACTTAGAATGACTTAGCCCCTAACTGGAGCGGCGGGGCCCTGTGTCCACACCCCACTCCCGTCAGATGCAGAGAACACCGAGTAGATCCATGTTTGTGCCCTGAACCTGAGTCTAACTCAGCAGGTAGCCTTGGGTAAGGATATCAAATAAAGCCAGGAAGGGAAGAAAAAGGGACAAAAAATTAAACATAATGAAACTGGCCACAGGCCATGCATGCAAGGGAGAACCATGTAGACCTTTAAATGCTGGAGTCAGGGGAGAGAAAACTTGTTTTGAGCAAAGCTGTCCTGGCAGAGCAGAGACTTAAAGGGACTCAGAGCAGGGAAAACTGGACGTAGTGGCCGGCCCACCCCCCCAACCCCACCCAAAGTGCTGTGGGCATGCAGACCCCAGGGACAGTGGGACCTGCACCAGGATTGGCAGTGCCCTGAGATAGTGCCAGCAGCGGTGGATCCCCTAGGTCTGGGGTTGGGATCCCAGGAGACCCGACTGGCACCAATTCTGCTCTAGACTTGTCAAGGAGAGGCTCTGATGAGTCTAGGAGGCCATCCCTGATCACACGGGCTATGACTCCTTCACCAGCCTTGCATATGCATCCTGCCTTCTCTCCATGTATTTAATCTTTGTCCTCAGATCCTTCCAGATACTTCCCCTGATGACTGAAAGAGCAGCCCCTTATGACTGAAACCCCTGCCTAGAAAAATGGTGTAACCACAGCTAGCACTTGTGTAAAACTTATTTTGTGCAAACCCTGCTAACCACTCTATATTTACTAGTATGCAAAGTAGGTACTATTATCATTCTCATTGTGTAGATAAGGAAACCAAAGCACAGAGCAGTTAAGCAAGTTGCTCAAGGTCACACAGCAGTTGTGAGTAAGTCATAGAGCTGGGCTTCAAACCTAGGCACCTTCGCACCGGAGCCCATGTGTTAAATGAGCCCACTTCACCACTGCTCTGTTATAAAACAGATATAATAGATAATAATAGATAATAATATAATAATAGAAACAGCACAGTAATGTGAACTTCTTGGCCATTCTGAACAAGGAGAGTTTTGAGCTCTTAGGAGAGAGGCCAGGCAGGAAAGAGGTGGTGGGGTGCCTGGGGAGCTCAAGGTGTGCCCAGAGGGCTTGCAGGCTGCCCTGGCTACTGTGGACAGCCATGGCTCCCCTGTATCTATTTCTTTCTAAAAATTAATGGCAATAAAGAAACACAATCATTTGCAACTTTAAAAAGAAGCTAGCAGCTCTAGGAATCTGGAAATGATATCCCCTTAACTCAAAGGCCTGATGCATTGGCTTAAAAGGGGGCTGACTTTAAAGCTGGTATGTGAGTTTACTGGGGCCATTGGCAGGGATGCTAACAATTTATGGAATGCATTTTTGGAAAGGATTAGGGGAAAAAACATGTCGTGTCTTACAAACCCAGCGTTAGGAAGGCAGCTCTAAGCACTACATCTCAGGCTTTCCGGACGCACCGCTTTTTAGGGAATCGGCTGGCCCTCTTTTCCTTCTCTTTATAAGCTCTTACCCTAAGGATCATATTCAGGCTACACCGGATATGCCCAAATCATTTCCATCTGCCGCCTAGGAGGGCCCCGGGAGGCCTGCCCTCGAGAAGCAGCTCCCAGGGAATGCTGTCTGGGAAGGGACAAAGAGAGCGTCGCAGCCTCTGTGTCTGCCCAGTCCATCCCAGGCCCCACTGACATCTGCTGGTTTTCCTCTGTCTTTGAGTTTGGAAACGGGGCACTGTTTACATTCTGGCCATGGATTAAAATAAGGAAAAAGTTTCTTGTTCCTGTTATTTCTCCCTACGACCTCCCTTCCCACTTTATGACATGTTTCCCGCAGAGCAGAGTTTCTTTACAACAGGTGGGTAAACTGAGGCACGGGGAGATGGACAGAGGAGTCTTGGCTCTGTTAATTACCGCATAACAAAGAAAGGGACACAGATCTCCCTGTCCAATGCAAAGAGCTAAGAGAGTGTTAAATCAAAAGGAAAGTGCCAGACTTTTAAAAGAATCCCTTTGTTGCTACTTCTGCGAATGCTGCTGGGAACCCACCTGCCTGGCCCTGGATTTTCCCTGCTCCCCAAACACAGGGAGCCTTGTGGTGTGCACTCCCCTCCGTGTTGACCAGGCATGATCAGACAAAGCACACCTGGCAGAAGGGATTTCCAGCTGCTCCTTCAGGAGCGTGAAGGCGTCAAGGGTGGGAGTTGCCCGCACCATATTTGACAGGGAGGCAGGGCCGGGTCTAAACTGAAAGGCAGAGGGGGGCTGTGGCTGGCAGCCCCAGGCATGGTCCAGGCACGCCCAGAGCCTCCACCTCTGCTGGGGGGGAACCTGACAGGAGAGGCTTGTTCTATCACAGACAGAGAACCTGGCCCTAAGAAATCTCTACATCCAACTCTCTAGCATGTTTTCTTTTAAACAACTTTATTTTTCTGGAGTAGGATTCTAAAGGAAGGCCCAGAACTTTCCTATATATATCACCCCTCCCCCCACACAGGGACAGCCTTCCCATCAGCAACATTATTGACCAGTGAGGTACATTTGTTACGGATTTTGACACATCGTGGCCACCCCAAGGCCATAGTTTACTTAGGTTTCATTCTTTCTTTTTTTTAAAGATTTATTTATTCATGCATACAAAACTGGGGTATAGGCCAGAAGTGTGGGGGGCAAGTGGATTCACCAGAGACAGAGTGGGGAGCAGAACAGGCAGATTGACTGAAATACACACTACTGAGGGGAGCAGCAGGCGAGTCAGGAGAGGTCTGCTGTGCCATGTGGGTAGCTCCCTGTTTGGGGATTGAACTCATGCTGCAGCAGCTGCAGACAACTTCATAGGTTGCATCTTAACCCATGTGCCACCAGGGAGGTCCCACGTTTCATTCTTGATGTTATACATGCTATGGATTTGGACCTATATAATGGCATCTTTCCATCAGTTCACTATCAGTATTTTCACTGCCCTTAAAGTCTTGTGTCCTGCCTAGCCATCCTTCCTGGCCCTACCCCAACCCCTGGCAATCACTGATGACTTTACTCTCTCATTAGCTGTGCCTTTTCCAGGATGTCATTGTGCTGGAAGCATGCAGTATGTGACAATTTCAAATTGGCTTCTTTCACTTAGCGGTAGGCATTGAAGATTTCTTAATGTCTTTTCCAACTTGACAGCTCTTATTTTTAAGGGCTATGTAATATTCCATTGTCTGAAGGTACCACATTTTATCCATTCACCTACTGAATGACATCTTGTGTGCCTCTATGTTTTGACAATTATGAATAAAGCTACTTAAACATTCATGTACAGGTTTTTGAGTGGATATAAGTTTTTAACTCCTTGGAGTAAATATCAAGGAGTACAACTGCTGGATCATATGGTAAGACTATGTTTAATTTTGTAAGAAGCCACCAAACTCTTCCAAAGCAGCTGCACCATTTTGGTTCCCACCAGCAATGTCTGGAGTTCCTGTTACTATAGATTATTACCAGGGTTTGTGTTATCACTGCTCCAGATCTGGGCCAATCTAGTGAAAAGAAATGGTCTCTTGTTGTAATTTGCATTTCCCTTATGACATATGATATCTTTTCATTTACTCATTTGTCCTCTTTACATCTTCCTTAATGAGGTGTCTATTAAAGACTTTGGTCCCCATTTTTAAGTGGGTTGTTTTCTTCCTGTTGACTTTTAAGCATCCTTTGTATATTTTGGGTAACAGTTTTAACAAATGTGTATTTTGTGAGTATTTTTTTCCATACTCTGACTTTTCTTCTAGTTTGCTTGATATTCTCTTTCTAGGAGCAGAATTTTTTAATTTTAGTGAAGTTCAGCTTACCAAGTACACCTTTCATGAATTATACCTTTGATGTTGTGTCTAAAAAGACATCACCATACCCAAAGTCATCTTGTTTTTGTGTGTGTGTTGCTTCCTCAGAGTTTTATAGTTTTGTGTTATATTTAGGCGTGTGATCCATTTTTGGGTTAATTTTTGGGAAGGACTGTGAGGTCTGTGTCTAATTTTTTTTTTTTTTTTGCACGAGATGCCCAGATATTTCAGCGCTAGTTGTTGAGCTAGTTGTTGAACACACTATCTTTGCTCCACTATATTACCTTTGCTCCCTTGTCAAAGATAGTTGACTATGGTTAGGGATGAGACTAAATTTCTGGGCTTTATTCTATTCCACTTATTTATTTGTCTGTTCTTTTACAAATACTGCCCTGTCTTGAGTACTGTAGCTTTATAGTGAATCAGGTAGTGGGAGTCCTCCAATTTTATGCTTTTCTTTCAATACTGTAGTGACTGTTCTGAGTCATTTGCCTCTCCATAAAAACTTAAAATCAATTAGTTCATATTCATAAAACAATTGCTAGGGTTTTATAGGAATTGCTGTGACTCTCTAGATTAACTTGGGAAGAACTAAATATTGAATCTTGTCTGTGAACATGGAATATCTATCCATTTATTTAGGATGTTTGAAAAGGAGAGAGGAGAAGGGAACTCATTGCCATACCTGACCTTAGTGGGGAAGAGTTGAGTTTCTTCTCATCATTAACTATGACGTCACCTCCAGGATTTCTATAGACAGACTTTAACAAGTTGAGGTTTTTCTCTATTCCCAGTTTACTAGGGGGTTTTATCCTCAATGGATGTTGGATTTTGCTAAAAAAATTTTTTGCAACTGTCAATATCATCATGTTACTTTACTTTTCAGCCTTTTGATATGATGGGTTTTTTAAATGTGGAATTTTAATGCCATGAAAAATGTGATTTTAAAGAATGAGATATTTCCGTTGTCTAAAATTGTCTGGTTTTGCTATTTAAATTGATGGACTTTAAAAGAGAGACTTTTGTTTCTCATGTCACACAGAGCAATCTCGTCAGTACTAGTCACATTTCTTTCCAGAAATCAAGTCCATTGTTTGGTTCGCCAACCAGGAAACATTTTTGAGCACCACTTATGTGCAAAACAGTGCTTGACAGAAAGAAAAAATACCAAGCAGCATATCTCTGCAGTGGTGCTTAAACTTTCCACTTTGAAATCATCTTAGAAATCTCATAGGACTTAAAGTTAGTAAGAGGGCTGCTGTGTGCTCTTCACCCGCATTTCCCGGTGAGGACATCATACATCACTTCAGTAATGTATTACTGAAGCCAACACCCAGTCTTCTGGTTTTACAGATGAAAAGAAAGAAAATGGAACCTCAGGAAGGCTGGGTGACTTGCTCAAAAGCACACAGTGACTGAGGTAATTTGGTGTCCCCCAACATGCAGACCCATCACCCCATGCGGGCAGGCAAAAGGCAGTTAGCAATATCAAGGGTGAGTTCCCAGTGTTCTCACCTGTACGATGGGATAACAATACTGCAGTCCCAGTACATTGCCTTGCACTTGGGTGTTCTGACTTGCTGGGGTGACTTTGCTGAGTCTCTCTGGGCCACCAGTATCTGAACTTCATTGTAGATCCAGAGTCACCAAAGTGCTTGTCATTTGGATGCGATAAACCCTGTGGCTAGTGAGCTACTGGGCTGCCTTAACGAAGCTCCTGGACCTGGAAGGTGCTCACCAACCATCCCATCCAGGTCCCCTACCTTTCATTACATTACTGCCCCCTATACACCATCTCTTGTGTTCCCTTTTTTTTCAAAAGATTTTGATATCAAAATCTTCTATTAGTTAACTGGTTAAGCCTCTTTCTATTTTTAAAAATTAATTGCAAGATAGGCGCAATTGCCAAGTAGAGATATTGAGCAGCAAAGGATAACCAATGTCATCACACTGGGTTAATAGAATTCTAGCCCAAAGCAAACAAAAGTTGACATTTTAATGAAACTATGCAAGCTTAGCAGGCAGGGGTAGGACTTCAATGTGACTTTTAAAAATACCGAAAATAGTTTGAGGGCTCTGAGGGTTTAGGAATCCCAGGGACTTAATCCAGTCCCAAAAGATTCTAAAGATTCCAGAAAATCTCCTATAAAGTATAAATACACTTTAGTATATGTTCTTTATGTTGGCTTAAATCCCCTTTTCTATATCTTAATCCCATTCTACCTTAAAGTTTGATGTTTACATGGGAATCTCTAAAATTTAAGGATATCCAATTGCATTAAAATATCTCTATGCACATATGGTACCCAGGTGCATATTAAATGTAGAAATCGTTATTTTAAAAATAGCAGCATGTAGTTTCTTTCCTGGTCATTCAATCTCTGTCTACCTACCCCTATGTTTCCAGCATTTTCCATCTTCTCTCCAGCCTTTCGCTCCGCGTGCCATATTCCTTTCCTTGCTATTAAATCTGAGGTTCAACAAACTCCTAATAAACATGCACTGTTTTAGTCAGGGTTCCCCAGAGATGACAGATAGATTGGTAGAAAGAGACAGAGACAGAGAGACAGAGACAGAGGGTTTTATTTTAGGGACTATGCTTACATGATTATGGGAGCTGGCAAATCCAAAATTTGCAGGACATTTTTGGCAAGCTGGAAATTCCAAGAGCTGGCATTACAACTTGAGTCCAAAGAAAGTCTGGAGGCAGGATTCTTTCCTCTCCTGGCACTTGAGTCTTTTCTCTTAAGGCCTTCAACTGATTAAAGAAGGCCCATGCATATACAGAGGGAAATCTGCTTTGCTCAAATGATGTAAATGTTAAGCTCATTTGAAAATACCTTCACTGCCATATCTAGGTTGGTTTTGACTCATCATATGGGAACCACGGCCTAGCTGATGTGCCACATACGTTGAGCCATCACATATACAAGTATTATATTAAGCTCTGGGACTCAGTGACCAATGGGACCTTCCCCCAATCTTAAGGAGTTGGGAATAAAGTAGAGAAGTGAAGGTAGAAAGAACTGATTTGGGTAAATGCCACATTCAGGAGTGACAGAAAGCTGAGACCACGGAGGGAGGTCTGCAGGCCAGTGTGAGAAGGTTATGCTTTAGCAGGCACGGTTTGAGCTGAATCTTCAAGCTCATCCAGAGGTGAGGCACCCTGATGAGGGGGAAGAAGAGGCCGTGTGGTGCATGGGTGACAGTGAGTGGTTTGATGTGAAGGAAGGTGGGGTGTCAGTGTGGGGGTGGAGCATACTGCAGGGGTAGTGTGGAAGGGTGTTGAGGGACAGATTGTGAAGCGTAGAGAGTTTTACGAAGGAAGCAAAAGAAGACCTGTACTGTTTCCATGAGACACAGTCATGTGAGCCAGTCACAGAGCAGGCGTTGCAGGCGCCACAGAACTGTTAGTAGTAAAGTCCCTCAGAGGTCACCCACTCTTGATTTGCACATTGAGTCTTCACCCAGGGAGTGGCCTTAGACACCACTGCAGAGGGCGAGGGCAGGCCAGGCAGAGAGGACCCTTTTCAAGTGGAACTCTCAAATTTCACAGTTTTTAATGAGGCTTTACTCTGAATGACCCCCCTCACCCCCACTTGCCTGAGTCCATGAGCTGTGACCCAAGGCACTTGGCTGCCTGGGCTTTTCACCCTCCCCTCTCGTTATAGTTCCTCAAATCCTTCCTTCAGACACAAGACCCTTCATGTACCTGAACATGGGGTGAGTCTTTATTCCATGGTTCTGGTTGCCATGGAAAAGGAGCTCCTTTCAGAGAAAAAAAGCGAGTCTAAGAACAAAGCAGACATAAAATCAGCCTCCCTTCATTTTTCTGAGTTTTGGAAGTTGTTCCTTCTGTGAAGCTAAAGTTGGCTCCTCCACATTAAGATCAAGTGGAGAGAAATCATCTCAAATGACAACAACAAACGCTTTCAGTCTTGCATAGGAAAATTGACATTTGAAGTAAAAATGGTGTGTTTGGCAAATTGTGACACTAAACAGTTTTCAGAAAATGACTCTTTCTTTCTTAAACATTGGAAAAGAAGTATAAAGATGTCGATTCAAAAAGGTAAGCTTTATACATGTGCCACGAAAAGAAGGGGCAGGATCAGAGAGCTGAGAGATCATTCAGCCCACAGGTGAGGATCCTGGCTCAGAGAGACTGTATATTTTCCTCAGGTCACAGAGCTGACAGGGAAAGTTAAAAGAAAAACTTATTCTCTTAAGTCCTAACACAAAGCTTGTTCCTCTATATACCATTGCCATCTAGATTTGTGGCCACTGTTTATCATTTTGGAAGCCTAATTGACAACGTAATGGAATTTTCCAGAACCCGTGCAGCAAACAGTGAGCCAGCTTTATTCAATTTTTTGTCGGCTTGTTTTGGAGAAACGTATAAACAGTTCATCATTAAACACATTTCATCATCTGAAAAAAGTAGGGAGTGAAAGAGATTTTGTGCTCAACTTTTCAGTAAAGGAAAGCAGTGACATAAAAACACAAGTGTATGTTTGCATTATTTGGATTTTTAGGTATATTAATGGATCTGGGTTTTGAAGAGAGATGAAAGAGAAATTAAAAAGAGTTTCTGCTTTCTGAGACAAGAGAACCCTGAATCAGACACTACTTTAAGGTGAATCCATCAGTTTTGATTACTTTTGCGAGAAAGATAAGTTGCTCTCTCTAAGAGGAACAGGGTTAGCTTGTGGAATTAAAAGACTCTTGAGATAGACTGAATGTTTGTGTTCCCCCAAATTTATATGTTAAATCCTAATGTTCATTGTGATGGAGGTCAGAATTTTGGGGGCGATTAAGTCATCCGGGTGGAGCCTTCATGAATGGGATTAGCACTTTTATAAACAAGATGCCAAAGAGTCCTTCATCCCCACAGCGTGGGAGAACACAACTACAACACAGTCATCTATGAACCAAGAACATACTCTCCAAACCCTAAGTCTGCTGCCAGTTGATCTGGACTTGCCAAGAACTGTAAGAAATATACATTTCTGTAGTCAGTAAGCCACCTAGTCTATGGTATTTTTTTTTATAGCAATCCAAATGGACTAAGACAACTCTTTGAGAAGATTTGTCTTAACAAGCCAACAAAGAAGTGGTCACACATGAGACAGGAAAACAGCAGGTTATGTGAAAAGCTTGCATACTTACAGTGGGATGTGTTGAGGTGGATCTTACCCGAATACAATCATAAGTGAATGCACAGAAGCAGGGTGTTCTTTCCTTTGCAGAAAATTAATTATTGGGTTTTATACAGACTAAGCCTTTGACGCTTTCATCATAACCCCTTCTACTTCAAATACTTCATTAGCAAATCATTGTCAGCATTTCATGTTGCCTTGCTGGTTCTCCATTTAAATAATCACACTGAAATTCATCCAGTAGTGTTGGGGTTTGGGCCATTGAATTAAGCAAACTCATGGACCCATGAAAGCATTTAGTCCAGTTCCTAACCACTGAATTAGACATCAGAGGTCCAGCGCTCTGAAACTAGTTTGGAAGAATCCCGTGCCTCCAGGCAGCACAGCCTCCAGAACATTCCAGGAGGGTGGATGTTTGGCTTTTCCAAATCCAAAAGAAATGTCATTCATGCAGGAAAATGAAACATCTGACCAGAAAACCGGAAATCTCTCCTACATGACAATGGGAGTCCATTCCTTCTCACATATTCATCATCACACCTGGTTGTGGAGAGCATTCATTCAGCAGCCTTAAGAAACCAAGATGGAACCTGTCTCCCTATCCCAGGGGATGGAGATATGGACACTGGAGAAGAGATGACATTGCCTAACCATGGTGTTGAAGGCAGATTTGGTCAAAGATAGGGGGATACTTTTAAGAGATTGAGTAATTTTTGTTTTATCAAAGAAATCTTGAGGCACTCCAGACCATCCAAGCAAGAAGGGAAATGACTGATGCTTGGTCTCCTGTCAGTTATCTACTGTACAACGACCGGGGAGAGCATCCTCACAGGAATCATCAGAATCAGGAAACATCTGTCTTCTTATTTAGTCACTGGGAGCTGACAGAGTCACAGGATCATTCAAATCTGCTTGTTGAATCCTTGAGCTCCCTAAACTCCAGGGTGATTTCTTGGATGGGGGGAGAGAAGAGGAGAATTACAGAGGGGCCATCTTATCATGACTCAGATGTGGGGTGGCATCCCCAGTGGCTCTGGTTGGAAACATAGCCACTAAGTACCTGTCATTGACACAGCTCTGTCCTAGACATTGAGGGGAGTTGTAAGAGCTCCCAGGTTCTCCCAACTCATGAGGATGGATGTATGAAATGACACAAAACTCTTTGATAGAAATTCATTTGAGCAAGACATTGACTGTCAGCCTCAGATGCTCAGATATACATGCAAGTATCTCTGCCAACTCATGGGTGGGACACACATTTAAGCTTAGGCCTGGGAAGTAGTCTCATCCGTCACTTTGAACAACCCTCTCCCCAATGAGTGATGAAGAAAAGGTACCCAGAGAAGGAAAGTTCCATGCAGCCCAACACCATTAGGAGGAGGCTGAGTTGAAAGCAGGACCTCAGGTTGCTGTCCCTACCCCTACCCCCACTCCAAGGCTGCCTGCCTCTTCTTGGGAGCTATGAGAAAGAAGGAAGTGGTAGGAGAAGCCAAATCTCCCTTTGTGATGTAATCAGTACTTATAGTCAAAACAGCATGTGGCTTTGCCTCTTTTCTGCCCATAAACTGGTAGGAGAACAAAATGACTAGAATAGTACAAAAATAGTCTTGCCCTTGAGCTCCACATGTATCTTAGCTGACATGGCTCTGTTAGTTTATCTTGCACCTTTAACCTAGCTTCCTCTTTAATCTATGTGCTGTAGAGCATGGCGATTGTAAGCATAAGGGCTGATGCCAGCCTGCCTGCCTGAGTTCAAATCCCACTGTTGCCCCTGCTGGCGGTGACCTTGGGCAACTCCCTTAACCACTCTTTAGTTTCCTTACCAGGCAAGTAAGGGGAGGGCGCCAGGTGTCTGAAGGTGTTGCGTCACATAGACAGCAGTGCCAGTTGGAGGCGCCATGGAATGGGGTGGGAGAAAGATGGGCCAAGGAACCTTTTCACTCTGTTGAAGTGATTCTTTTGTTTCACTTTGCCTTGTGTTGGGGGCCTGTCTGCAGAGGAATGCAGGAACTCCCTGGTTATTGAGAACTCTTTGGTCAGGATGGGAGCAGGAAGCCCAGCTTCATCAAAAAGCAGTGAGACAGCAACTGGCTAAGGGCTTGGTGAAGATGAGATATTTGGCCCTTGCTGAGGAATAAATGTCAAATCTCAGGATGTACCAGCAGGGGTGGACTAAGTGACCACCACGTGACCCCAGGAGGAAGTCAGGGAACCATCTGCAGAGGGACTGGAACTGATGAGCCAGCGTCCCTGGAGCTGGGAGCCAGGAATCCACCACTTTAACCAGACCTCAGATGATTTTTAGGCCTAAGTTCTAGACCCATTGATGGGCCCATCCCCTCACTCACAAATAAGGATCAGTTGTCTCTTCTTTTCTCTGCTTCCTTCTAAACAGAACACTCAGTGTAGGGAAGTGGTGGTTGATGCCAGTAAGACTCCCTCTTCTAGGTCATTGCTCAGGGAGCTAGCAAGGAAGCACATAGAAAAGTGTGGGTGAGAAATAGCTAGAAAATTCTCATGACATCAGGCAAAGGTAGGTTGGATTTTCCTCTAACTGTTGCCCTTCTCCCCCAGAATATGTTAATGCTGGAGTGTACGCCTGGCCTCAGCTATTACTGCAGTGAGGAGAACAGCTTCTTGAGAAAGTCTCTACACACACTCCATGGAACGGTCACAGGGTGACTCCAGTGGGCTTGTTTTGGAAGCAGCTACCTCCTCACCCTGCCCCCACCCCTGGAAGAGGCCTAACTTCTCATGAAACCAGTTTCTCTGAGGTCAAGGACTGAGAATAAATTGCAAAAAAAAAAATCACTCTGCTTTTCAGCTGACTCACTTGATTCTCCCGGGGCAGCAGCCACACCACTGTATAAGGCAGGAACAGCATGTTTGGGGCGTGTATAAATTAGGAAATGTGTAGTGCTAAATGGAAAAATAATAGGTAGTTTTATCTGAAGATCTGATAGACAAATTTGGCATTCTCTGTGCTCAGACTTTTAAATATTTATAACCATGATCCTTCACGAGTAATCTGCAGAGACCTTTCTGCATATTGCCAACTTCAAAGAGCTTTGCTAAACTTTCTGCAAACCCATTCAACACTTTTTTTTTTTTTTTTTGGTAAATACTTGCTAAATTTTCCTTGGCAAACACTGGCAAGACCATTGCAAATGCTGCAATACCCATGACCAGGATAACTACCAGCAAAGAGGTCCCTTTGCCAATGAACAGGTACAGGTACTAAACCTACTGCAATTTAACATTGAAGGAACCACAGAACCTTGTTGCCAATGCATTTTGTTTAGGGTGGGCCCTGGAGACCCATTCTGGAAAGTACTATAAGAAGTTTCACAAGGTTGTGTCCTCTCACAAGAGCTCAAGTGTCTCATGGGGTGTATTGACCAAATTCCAACTCCAAGGAAGAGAACTCTTACAGGTATTGAGACTTTGGGGAATTTGTGAACTTGACCTTCCCGGAGTAGCCTAGACCGGGAAGAAGCTGATTCAGAACTAGACAAAGTGGTAGAATCTTCCAAACACCCTGGAAGAGTAGAAGCAACTTGCTCAAAATCTTCTCAAAGTGAGTGGCAGCGTGTAGGGGCAGCAATGGCCACTGAGCAGGTTTTCTGATCCAGCAGACCGGGTAAAGGAGGAGTCAGAGCCCTCAGTGGTTTTTGAAGGTCTTTTATTGGGATTTACCAGGCACATGGCAGGCAGGAGTGCTGGGGGGCCGGGAGGCTGGCAGGCCTCCCAGCCCCCAGCAAGTCTTCACTCTATCTGGGCTCTCTGGCCTTCTCTGCTTCTCTCTTGGCTTCTTCTGGCGTCCCCGTGGCGCCGCCCTTAAAAGCCCAGTCTTAGGTGAATCCCATCTACCTATGCCCACACCCTACTCCAGGTGTCCGCCATCAGGCATGCATTCGGGACTGCAAGGATCCCTCATCTATCCTGATGGCGGGAGGGCAGAAAAGCCAGACATTTTTCCTTACCCTACCCAGGGCAAGGATTCAAAATCATATTTGCAAACCCCCGCAGCAACACTGCAGTGTATAGTATGTGCCTACAGGACATTTTCAGGTAATTATGTGAATAATTTTATGCTTTAAGCTATTGAGGTGTGCTTTACTGACTCTCAGATTCTTTATCTATAAATCAGGGCTGAAAATACCTCCTCACAGATTTACAGAGTATTTTTCTGGAATATAGAAGTCTCATAAAACACGAGACCTATTATTTTTACTGTGTACTAACAAACAGGTTACTTTCTATGATGTAATACAAAGACAAATCAATGATCTTTGGGAAATGAAAAGAAGTCTTACGAATGTCCACCCTCTCCAATTTGGGCTCCACAAGTCTTTAAATGAACCAAAGAATGGTCGTAAGAGCTGGAGTGGGGATGTACTTAAGACTCTTTTGTATAATGGAGCAATTCAGAGTTGTAAAAGTAGTAAAAGGAAGCGGAAAGGAATTTAACAGTCAACCTGCCAAGACCAGGTGGAGGGCATACTTCATTCCTCCCTCAATGAAAACCTACTATGTGCTGAGGTCTGCTATGCAGCTTGATCTTTGTGAGAGGTCAGGGAGGCACTTATGGGGTTGGAGACTAAATTGGATACTCACTGGACATAGATGAATAGTGATAGGGGAAGACTAGTGCAGAGGAGGCGGTCTAGCCAAGGATAGTAACACACAAAAAGTTTTTAGTGGTAACACCTGCCTTCTGAAGCAGTTCTATTTATTCAGGAAAGTTTTTGCAAATAGTTTCAATAAAATTGGGACATTTGGTGTTAAGTTCTAATGAGAACCATTTTCCTCATCAAGGCCCCTGTCCCCTGGAGGAGTATGTTGTTTTGTGTAGAGAACACTAAAAAAATCTGATTATTCCTACTAATCAAGATTTTTTAAAATGAGGGCATTATTTTGGGAGGGGGGGTCTTCCTGCAAGTATGTCGCTGTTGAGTTTTTAAAAAGGAATATTAGGAAAATGGCAATTTCAAAGAGTATCTGAAGCCAACCCTTACCTAATATCACATATAAAAATTAACTCAAAATGGATCAAACAGCTAAATGTGAAACTTTAAAATCCTTAGAAGAAAATTTAGGGTAAAAGTGTCATAACATTAGAATAGATAATAATTTCATGGATATGATACCATGGTAAAGGTAAAAAAGGGAAAACTAGACTGGTCGGACTTCATAAAAATCTTTAAAATTTTGTTCCACAAAAGATACAATTAACAGCATAAAAATGCAACCTGCAGCATGGGAGAAAACATCTGCATCACATATCTGGTAAGGGAATAGTATTCACTATATAGAGAGAACGCCTAAAACTCAACAAGTTAAACAACTTGTTGAAAATATATACGAAGGACTTCAATAGACTGTTCTCCTAAGAAGATATACAAATGGCCAGTAAGCACCTAAAACCACGTTCAACATCACTAATCAAATCAAAATTACAATGATATACTACCTCACACCCTTTAGGATGGCTATTAAACACACACACACACACACACACAGAAAATAGCAAGTGATGGCAATGCTATGGAGAAACTGGAACTCCTGTGCATTTTTGATGACAATATAACATCGTACAGCAGTTATAGAAAATAGCACGTTGATTTTTTTTTTTAAATATTAAAAGCAGGATTGTTGTAAGATTCAGCAATTCCACCTCTGGGTATTTGCCCAAAATAATCGGCTAGTCTGCAGAGAACTTTCTGAATTTTAAAGGGTCTTAAAGGGATATTAACACACTTGAGTTCCTATCCACATTATTCATCACTAAATCCTGGAAGCAGCTTGAGTATCCATTAGTGGATGAGCAGATGAGCAAAATGTGGTCTATACATACAATGCAATACTATTCAGCCTTGAAAAGGGAGAAAATTCAGACTTGCCACATGGATGAATCTTGAGTATGCTAAGTGAAATATATCAGCCAGTCACAAAAAGACAAATGAGGTATGAAGGGGAGTTTTTATTTCATGGATACAGTTTTAGTTGTATAAGATGAAGTGTTTCAGAGATGAATGATGTTGATAGAGGTATCACTGAATGTACCACTGAACTATATAGTTACATATAATTAAAATGGTGAATTTGGGCCTGCCTGGTGAAGCAGAGATTAAAGACAGAGCTCTATCAAGCTACTGCCAGCCACTGCAGCCAGGGAGCAACCCACATGGCGCAGCAGACCTCGCCTGTCTCCCTGCTGCTCCCCTCAGCAGTGTATTTCAGTACATCTGCCTGTTCTGCTCCCCACTCTCTCTGGTGAATCCTTTCCACCCCTACCCCCTCAATCTGGTCTACACCCCAGTTCTTGTTTGCATAAATAAATAAATCTTTAAAATAAAATGAAATGGTAAATTTTATGTTACAGTATTTTAACACAATAAAAAATGTTGGAAATCAATACAACCATTAAGCTTAAAGTTCCTAGAGCAGAAAGCAGTGCCATACAAAGTAGAAGTAGTTTTATGAAGTGAATCATTCATTGCAGGAAATAACTTCTTAATATTTTGGATGTTCTATAAACCAGTGGGTCAAGACTTTTGGAATTCATCAGGTAGAATAACTTTTTTTCAACTAGGGAGTGTGGAGTCAATGAAATCTTGGCAACATTTTATTTTGCTAAAGACTATTTTTTCAAAAGAAAAAATTGAAACCATGTATTGTTATCAGCTTTCCACCAAAGAAAGGACTGTTTGACTTCTGAAAAAGTAAAGGTCAAGAACATAAACCTAGAATAAGAGTGATTTCTTTCCAGGCATGGTTAATAGATAACCTTAACCTGTAGATAAATTAGCTGGTTGGCAGCCGATAGCTGTGATCTTTTCTCCAGTCCTATGGGTCAGGGCTGTGTTCCAGCCCCCATACATTTTTTTTATTTTATATATTTTTTACATCATTTTTAATTTTTGCACAATGTAGACATTTTCATCTTGGTTATAGTCCCCATACAATTCCCACCCTCCTTGTTTTGATCCTACTCCCTCCTCCCCACCACGCCGCCCCATAGTATATCTCTGGTTTATAGTTGCTTGTTGACTTTGATTTTTACGTTATTATAATTAGTCTTTTTTTGGTCCCTTATTTAGGTTTTCTAAATTCCTGCTATGAGTGAGACCATCTGGTATTTTTCTTTTTCTTTCTGGCTTATTTCACTGAGCATTAATTCAAAAGGGCACCTGCACCCCTATGTTTATAGCAGCACTATTTACAATAGCTAAGCTATGGAAACAACCCAAATGCTCAGAAATAGATGACTGGATCAAGAAGATGTGGTACATACACACGATGGGATATTACTCAGCGATCAAAAAAGATAAACTCATGCAATTTGCAGCAACATGGATGGAGCTAGAAGGGATCATGCTCAGCGAAATAACCCCCATACATTTAAAGGGACTGTGTGGTTCATTCTCGCTAGTGGAAGTGCAGAGAGTGCCTGACATCACCAGGCCAAGGGCAAGTGTGGCCTTTTACCCCTCCTTCCCATGACCTACAAGATGGCAGGAGCCCTGAATGCAAAGAGCTCAGGTCCCATAGAGACCTTTGAAACAGAGTTCACCTTCATGGAGTGTGATCAGATTGACAAACCTTTATTTTGTGAAGTTACTGATATTGGGGGTTGTTAGAGGTGCATTATTATTTAGCTTAACTATATGTATCAATTCACAAGCAAAAGTATATTAGTAATATGACTTATACCATACTATTTGCATTGACTTTTTTCATTTTTCTATGAACCAATGAAACTTTTATCACACACATATCTGGAAACTATGGC